AAAGAAGGTAACCATTTACTTTTACTTTTGTTTGAAAAGCCACAGAATGACAGTTTCCTTCAAAAGTAAGAACTGTAAGAAGGCCCGGTGCAGTGGCTCACGCCTGTAAATCTAATACTCTAGGAGGCTGAGGCAGGAAGACTGCTTGAGCTCAGGAGTTTGAGACCAGCCTGAGCAAAAGCAAGAACCCATGTCTAGTAAAAATAGAAAAACTTACCCAGGCATGGTGGTGCACACCTATAATCCCAGCTACTTGGGAAGCTGAGGCCTCCCTTGAATTCAGCAGGTTGAAGTTGCTGTGAGCTAGGCTAACACCACTGCACTCTAGCCTGGGCAACAGAGAGAGACTCTGTCTCAACAAAACAAAACAAAACAAAACAAACAAACAAAAAACAAAAATTAGAACTGTCAGTTGAACTTTTGCTTAAATAAAACAACCCCCACTCACTTTATAATAACATTTATAGTCTAACTATGTATAGCCAAGCTATGCAGTCCAACAATATATAAGACATCTGCTGATCCATAATTGTAGTTTTATCTGATCAGATCTCCTATAGGCATGATGAAACCACAGAAAGATATTTTGTTATGGTCAGCCATTAAATTCATTGCATCTGTGGTAACCTGGGCTACTCAATCACATAGTAGGAAAATGCAGAGATTAAATTTGTGAAAAGGAGCTATTTTTATAGCCGTAGAGTTGAAATATACTTTTGATCACAAATCTGCTTTATTATTTTATTTAAAAATTTTATTTAAAAAGATGGTATAAATTTTTAGAAATGTAATCTATAATGGAGTAGTTCTTAACTTGGGTTGATACCTTTCCCAATCCATAGGACATTTAGCAAGGTCTAGAGAAATTCTGCTTATCACAGCTACTGCCATCTAAAGGTGTTACTGTTGTCTAGTGGATAGAGGCCAGGGTTGCTGATAAACATTTCCCAATACACAAGGCAGTTCCCACCACAAAAAATTACCTAGATCTAAATGTTGAAAGGGCCTAGACTGAGAAACCTTTCTATAGTGGAATATTTCTGCTTCCCCAACAATTTTCCTGAGCCTTGTGTTTCTCACACTGACCTGAAATTCATCACTATAGGTCAATTTTTGTTGGCAAGTTACTCCATGCTTAAGCTACCTTCATTCAAATAGAGAATTAATTATGGACCAAGCTAAAGAGCTATTATTCATATGTTCAGTTTATAAGGGCTCCCTCACTGACTCCTTCAGGAATTACAAAGTGATCTTATTTGTTCTGTCCATTAGGTCCTAGGACCTATCTTGCCTAAAATTTTACATTCCTGGACAGCAATAACATGAAAGATGAAGCTGGTTTTATTAATTACTAATAAGCAAATGTACAACTATATCCTAATTTTTCCATAATAACAATCTTATTTACACTGTTGAATAAAAATAGAACTTATTAAACTGAGGAAGCTTAGGAAACACCCTTATAATATTAGCTTTTCCAAAACCCTTGAGTGATTCAAACTACAGGGCATAGGGTATCATAGGGTAAGAAAGACAGAGGTGGAAACCAATCTAGATAATGGAATAATCAACTATCACAATCAGGCTTCACCTTTCTTCTTCCAAACTAATCCATATTGGTTATTACATTTCTTCAAACATTAGAAATTGAGCTTCAAAATGAAATAAAGGTACATGATTATAAAGGAAGTAATAATAAATTTCAATGTTGTTTCTAAAAGTTCTGATCAAGGGACTATCCCATTAAAACCACTTCAACCTTCACCTCTAAAAAGTTCAATGCTATTACCTATTCCTGCTACTTTAAACAATTCTACTAAGTATCTATGTGCTATTGAAGCCTGAGGTTTTTTTTTTTTTTCTCTTTCATTTTGTTGTTTGCTTTGTTCTGGTTTTCCCTCAAAAGAAGCCAAGACAGCCTGGATTTAAGTCTTTGCTTGGAAGAACTGCAGGTCCTCAAAAGCAAATATTGGAAACTCTGTAAAAACCTCTCAGATATATGCCCTTAGAAATGTCCAGGGAAAAGAAAGTCATAAAAGCTTTTAAATTCATTTTGCTCTCTCATCAGAGGAATAGCAGAAATACACAGGGCAAGAGGCTGCCTCACCCAAATTCTTACACTCACTTGAAATAATACTGACCTAACTGTAGACAGTCTCTCCAATAATCCATACATTTATAAACTAAGTTTAGTCATTGCTTCCTTTGAATGGGTTCAGTGAGAGTTAAGAGCTTCAGGATCAGTGAATGGAAGTTGAGATAGAAAGTAGAAATAAGGAAAAGAAACCCCTTTGTCTTTAAAAAGAAGTGGCCGCAGTTTCCGTTTACAAGCCTGAAGAGTTGTTATACATATTAAAATTGCTGCATAGCTCCATCCCTGGTCACAGAAATTCCTCCTCCTTCCCTGCCCCCCCCCCCCCCCCGTGGCCACTGAAGATGTCAGATCTTTGGGAAACAGCAGTTAGGAAAGGATGCTTTTCATAGCTCATACTGTAAAACGCTGGCATCCCTGTCCTTACATAAAATAGCACTAAACTGAGTCACAATGCAGGAAGCTGTTCCTTCTGCTTCCCTTCAATGGGAGCTAGCTAAATACTAAATAATACTGCATAGTTTTGCCGGTGTTTGCGACATGTCAATTCTTCTAATCTCCCATTTGCCCTGGATAATTTTAAGCTTTATCCATCAGTGTGCCACACAAGAAAGAAAAATGCTGTTAACAAGATGACAGTGTTAGCTAGGTATTTGGCATCAATATTAGCGAGAGTCTGTCATTTGACAATTACTTCCCTAGCATACCAGACGGTAAAGAAAATGTTTTCATTCATCCGCAAATGACTAACATTTTATTGATGTTTCAAAATGGGGTTGAATAGTATTGCACTCTCAATTTCTGAGCCGGTTTTCAGAGTTAAAGATGAATACTAATAACATCAGCAACTCCTGCTGCAAATGACTCCTTTAACTGCGGAGCCTTGGAGTGTTAGTTCAGCAGGGAAGTGTTGCTGGTTAGGAGTTCTTCGATTAGTCAGTCTGGGTGGTCACAGGTGATGAGAACCCTTGCTTTTCCCCATACATCCTCCTGCATGGTGATAAAAATCACTCTGAACACCTCTACCACCAAGCAAAATGACTCCCTGCCTGCCTCGTGAAGAGCTCAGTCTAGGGAGGCGGCCGTATGCTGACCCCTGCAGAGATTATTGCTTCGGTGCGCTTTGCCAAAGGACCCTTAGCGTCATGGAAAACGAGTTAGAGAGGGTTTGCTTTATTTATTTCCTCCAACGGAAGAAGAACTGGGATCCAGCAAAAGAAAACCTTCAAAGACTTCTAAAAGGGTATGGGGTGGAGGAAGGAAGTGGAGGGCAGCTTATTTTTTAATTACTTGTTTCTCTCCTTCTCTTGCCTGCTCAGCTTCCCAAACTCCTCGCAGAAGAAGATTGATTGGCGTAACTGCTGCTATCGACTCCAGCCCGGGTTCTCGCATTGATTTGCAAATGGCCCGGAATACCTTGGGATCTCGAATTTGCAAATGAGTTCGAGAAGGAAAGAAGAAAAAAAGGGCAGGGGGCGGCCCTATGCCCAGCATCCCATTCTGCCACGGGCCAGGGCAGCGGCTCGCCACAGCCGGTGGAGCCGCTTGAGGGGCTGCGGCGTGGAAAGCGGAGGCTGCAGCTCCACACGGCCAAGGAGCGAGTCTGTTCCACCCGGCTGGGAGGCTGTTAAAAAATATAACCCTGGGACTCGTTCAACCCGATAACTCTGCCCTGCCTAGGTTCGGATGCGCTGATCATTCCGCCTGATAGGCTCAGACGGGTTAAACTGCCTCTTACATAACCGGACTGCCTGGCTCTACACAATTAAAACACTTGATTGCAGTCTCTTCGCGGCTCTGCCTCCCAGCCCGTCCCTCCCAGCGCGCCTGCGTGCCGCCGCGCGCGCACGGGCCTCGCGCGCGCACTACACACTCTCTGTCACACACACACACTCCATGTTGACCATAAACACTCCCCCCTTCCGGCTACACACACACACACAACTTAGTGTCGACACGCACGGAGGAGAGGGGGAGCGTCCTCCAAGCCGTGCTGGCTGGCCCGACAGACACGCGAGCTGCCCTCCCGCAAGGCCTTGCACCCCCTCGCGTCCCCACGAAAAGCAGCGTCCTGCCACCGTCCCTATCCACTCTCGAAAAGGGGTGAAGGGAGAACTAGTTGGCCTCTTGTGAACTGTAGCCAGGTCGCCCAGGCGAGACTAAAAGAAAACAAAAAACAACTCACAGTCGCCGGCGTCATGATGGCGCCGACCACAACTTGCAGGACTTTAAAGTTACGGTGCCTCAAGAGGTAAAACGCACCGGAGAGCGAAAGCACAGCGTCCCCGCGCGCTCTGCACCCCGGCCCCGACACGCAGACTTTTCTAGCAAAGCGTCCCTGCATGCTTACGACAGTGAGGGAAGCCTTCTGTCTACCGTGCCTCTTTCCCCCTCAGTTTGCACAATCGTGATATTCCTCCAACTGATTTTTCTCCTTTCCTTTCTTTATTTTTTTTTCTCTTTTCTTTCTTTCTTTCTCTCTCTCTCTTTTTTTTTTACCCCGTATTTCCCCCCCTCCCTTCTCCATCCCCAGTCCTCGGGCGGGGTTGCTAAGGAAACGGCCGCTTGGCAACGCGCGCGAGCCCGGGGGTCGGCGGCCGCCGCTGCGCCCCGCGCTGCTTCTGCTGCTGTTGCTGCCGCCGCTGCGATTGCAGCCGCAGCCGCCGCTCGCCCTGCCGCCGCCGCCGCGCCTCCTCCCGCACTCGCCCGCGCGCTCGCCTCCTCGCTAGATGGTGTGCGAGCCGCCCGAGAATTAGACACACTCCGGACGCGGCCAAAAGCAACCGAGAGGAGGTGTAGTGTGGTGCCAGGGGGTGGGAGGGGAGGGAGGGAGGGATAGCGGAGAGGAGGAGGAGGAGGAGGAGGGGAGGCAAATTAAGAAAAAAAAAAAGAAAGAAAGAAAGAAAAAGAGACACACACAGAGAGAAACAACACCCAACAACTAGGAAGAGAGAAAGAAAGAAACCCACCCACCCACCAAAAAAAAAAAAAAAAAAAAAAAAATTCCTGTGGCGCGCCGCCTGGTTCCCGGGAAGACTCGCCAGCACCAGGGGGTGGGGGAGTGCGAGCTGAAAGCTGCTGGAGAGTGAGCAGCCCTAGCAGGGATGGACATGATGCTGTTGGTGCAGGGTGCTTGTTGCTCGAACCAGTGGCTGGCGGCGGTGCTCCTCAGCCTGTGCTGCCTGCTACCCTCCTGCCTCCCGGCTGGACAGAGCGTGGACTTCCCCTGGGCGGCCGTGGACAACATGCTGGTCAGAAAAGGGGACACGGCGGTGCTTAGGTAGGAAGAACGGCGTGCTTTTCGTACTTGTCTCAGTCTATCTTTCTGTCTCTCTTTCCACCCTCTCTGCCTTCTTTACAAACCGAGAAATGATGCTCACCCTGGAAAGACCACATTTCAAGAAATCCAGGTGCTGGTTCTTCCCAGAGTCCCGGCCCCTTTATGCTGGGGCAGGTAGCAGCTGGACTCCTGATGCTAAAGCACTTTGCCAGAACGCCAAGTAGCCCGAGGATGAGTGAAGTGGCAGGTTTAGAAGGAGGGGCAGGTGCCACTTTGAAACTCAATACACCGGGTCTCTGTTTTACTGTCACAGGGTACTCTTGGAGAGTCTGACAAGTTTATCAGGTTTGTTTCTATTTTACTCCAGCATAAGTGACTTTTTCAAACTGCTGGCTCTCTGTTTCCATTTATTTCCCCTCTCACTTGGATACTTAGGCTCAATTTCCTGCTCTTCGGCTTTATTTCCTTTTACCTCTTTCTCCCTTTAGTCCTTTTTTCTCTTTTTCCGTTTTCTCCGTCTCCTTATTGCTCTCTTTTCCCTCCAGTCCCTCTTTTCATCTCACTTCTATTTTCGTTGAGTTCTTTCTCTTTTCTTTTGTTTTCTCCTGTTTTTAAATAATCTCCACCACTGTCATTTCTGATTCTCTTATTTAACCCTCTCTCTTCTCTCTTCACTTTTCCCTTACCCCCATTTTTATCCTCATTAATGTCCTACTCTGTGCCTTGTCTTCCCTCTTTTGATTCCCATTTCCTATCCGTCTCCGTTACCCTTTCCCTCCCGTCACACACACAGACATGTTCATTCTCTCCCCTCCAGTACCATTTTCTCACCCTCATAAATCTTGTTTTCATAAACACTCTCCCTCACATACTCTCTCACATCCTCACACACACTGGCACTTCCATGCTCTAACAACCGCTTTCACATTCAGATTCTCTCTGACTAAAAAAAAGAAATACCCTCCCCTCCACAAAACACCACCAATAAAACAGGACAAAACACCACCCCTCCCCCCCCTCCTACCAGCCTCCCCGCTGTCTTCCTACCACCCCCTCCTTCTCACCACCCTCCCCCCCCCTGCCCTCAGTAGTACTACTTCTCCTCCCCCCCTCCCCCCACCACCCCAAGAAGCAACAACGATGAAATAGTTTGTCACTTATGAACATCCATAGCCTGATTTTACCCCTAAGCAACACTGCAGAGTGAGCTTCTGGAAACATTTTCTCTCCTATGAAAATATAAATTGATGATCAGCAGTGCTTAGATCTAAACAAGGCAAACGCCCTTATTCTTTCATTTCCCATCACCCTCCCTTCTCCCCCTGACACCCCACCTCACATCTCCCTGAAAGATCTCCTTTCTCTCCACTGGGTGGTGGTTGACTTATAAGTGTGAATTGCACAAAATCAGTGTACATGGTAAGTCTAAGGTGAAAGAGAGTGGATATGTTTCTGCTTGAATCATGCAACATAGTTAAATGTAATGATGTGGGTGTGGTATATGACTTACACCTTTCGAAACACACTTATGATTCCAAATTTGCATGTGATTCTATTATAATTTCTAATGTACACTAATAACATGTTTTTATAACATTTGTAAATACAAAATACAAAATGCCACTGAATGTGTGTATAAGTAACAAGTATAACATAGTAAAATAACTCTTCTTGTTGGTAAGAGTGATGAGCTCTTTGTCACATAGAGGATGTAAATAAAACTCATATTTATGCTTTTATTAAGTTTGTTTTAGAAGTTTGAACACAGTAGTAAGGACTAAACATTGTCTTCAGAGGTTGCAAACACATATCATGAGAGAAGCAATATGTTCATAGCAGCGGTATTGCTTATTTGTAATGAGGCTTACCATTTTCAACCTAAAGGATTTGGTAGACTACTTTTGGGTGCGTGATATATCTTGGCATTGGGTTTTTAAAGAACAATCTAATAAATACTGTGGTTAATTAAAATAGCTGGACTCACATTCCGCTTCCAGGAACCAATGTTTAGTTCACTCATTGCTTCCAACAGACAAGCATCCCTAATATGTGGGGACAATGACTTTCCAGTGTTGTTGGTTTGGTGCATTCCTTATTTACTTGGTGTGCACTGTACCTCATCCATTTACATGCTGTCTCCTGAGTTTTGTCATATCTTATTTTAGGAAACTCTTGACTTTTAAACTTCTTACAGAGAAAAGAATATGTCTCTTCTCAATAATGTTTCTAACCAATTGGTTTTTAGTTTTTAAATAATTATTTTTTCATATGAAATAAAAATTTGATCTTTATTACTTTTTACCCAAAGCAACTTGTTTATAGTAATTCTTATTTTCTAGGAAGTATCCAATTGCTGAGCTTTTTATTGTCCATAGGTTTTAAGCTAATTTAACATATTTATTTGCAGGAAATTCTCTATCAAAAAATGTTACATGTTGTCAGTTATTTTTCTTGACTCTTCTTGTGCAGCTGATATTTGCTCTGTTCATAGACCAATACAGATAGAGCTTAGGGACTAATTGAGTGTAGGCAACTGAAATGACATATTTTTCATCAAGAATAATGCCACAGTTATATTTTATTTTTACGTTGTATGCTTAAAATCATATTTGATGTTATTCTCTAATTCATTAGAAAACAAAACAAAACAAAAATCTACCCTTTAAGCATACACCCCTTCCCCATCGAAGTACATGGATGGAGTGCTCAAGAAAACACTTAACTGAATTACATGATACCATTTATCAAGCTTTACACAATATATTCTGTTTTAATGTAACATATTTCCTCAAAGTGTCTGTAATAAAAAGCAAATAGTGGCATAACAGTTATCAAATAACTTTAAGTGGTAAAGGCCTTAAAGTGCAAACATGCCAGTCACTGACTCTGTTGCTTGTGGTTACATTAATGAAATAGAAGTTTAAAGGTCAAATGATACATTTCTATCTCCTCAGTGCCAGAATGTCTAGTTTTTTAGAAGAGAATCAAGAAAAACAAAACTTTCCTTAAATGGAGTTATAATACCCAAGGGAAATACATTCTGTTATCTACTGACTATAGCTATCATTTTGTGAATCTTTCTCTGTTTAGCTTAAAAGGAGGACTTATAATGAAATTCCACTAACAATAGTAACACCACTTATTTCTTTTAGAAGGATTTTTAAAAAAGAAAAAAAAATTAACATCTTTTTCATTTTAACTTTACCGTTTAAGGTTAGTGAAGCCATATAGTAAATGTCAAGATGTCCCTTACTTTTAATAACGTCATTCACTGGTAAATCTCTGAAGGATTCACTTGGATTATTTGGACTTTCTTGATAATGTATTTAATGATGCATATATCCAAGGTAATCATGTTTGGTATCTCTCTTACTTAAATTTTGGATTTAACCAGATACATGAATGTCTATATTATAATTTTCTATGCACACAAGTTATTTTTATTAACTTATTAAATATAGACTATGATTGCCACTACACTTAATGCATATAATATTCTTAACAAAACTTGTTAATCTGTGTATGGAGACATTAACTTTTTCTCCATTCTTCAAGTTGCATTTTGTAGTGCATGGAAGATCTCAGTTAATGTGTCATTGGGTGACATAGTAAAGAACAGGAATGCTAGAACCACATGGGTGGTGCTTCAGGACCCAGTGTTTCTAGACCTGGAGAATTGAGGAGAATATAACCATGCTTTAGATCAATATATAAATTTCAGATGACTTTTTAAAGTATAATTTTGCACTTAAACTTTAATGTGAATCCTTTCCTTTACTCTTACCTTATTAACAAATACCATTATGTAAACATGTTGAAAATGTTTAATGTTCTTTGGAAACAATACTATGAACATCCTCATTTACATCCTCCTAGCTCCTGCACATTTTAAAAACACATGTCATTTTTAAACTAATATTTTCAATCTGTTTCTTATTCAACCCTTCTGTATGAATTTTGTACATTTTTAGCTGCCTTCCTGATATGAATTCAAAATATCCTATTATCTGCTTGTCATGCTTTAATCGAAGGAAGGAAGATAGATTCTTCCCTTAATTGTGGTATCTTATTTTACCTTAGCAAAGTTGAACACAACTCTGTCATTTTAATGCAATGGATTTGAATGGAAGATATATGACATCCTACTATGATATTGTACAATGGAAGAAGACTTTTGCATAGAGCATAGGGCACATTTCTACCCTATTGAAAATTACAAAAGTTTTGCAAGCATATTTATAAATGGATATGACAAGTATTTATTACTTAGCCTATTTGTAAAATACAGTTTGCCTTTTGATTAGATAACATTAATTAGTTTTGCTTTGAAGTGCATACTATTGCTTACAATAAAATAAATGATTTCTATATGAGAGTACAGTAAAAATAGTGGTAAAAATTAATTATTCTATACTTTTGGAATATCACTGGAGAGTCTCACATTTTCTGTTGAGTTATTCTGACACATTGATGCATCATGTATTCCAAATACACTGTTCAGCTATATAGGTCTTTTCAGTTTAGGACATTGAAGTACATTTTAAAACCTATATGCTTCTTAAATAGTGTCATTGAACAAATATTTTTTAGATTCTGATGTTTTTCCTTCTTAAAAAAGGGAGGTGTAATGGATTATCATAATGAGTCAATCTAGAAAAATATGTTTCAGAATATGGAATAAAATTCTAAATGTTACCTGTAGTGATTTGAAGAGCCATTCTAGTAGCATGTATTGTTTGATGAATCAATATACAACTGTTTAAAACATTTAATTTTTAATTAAGTTTTTTAATTTTTTTAAATTTTCTAGATGAACTTATTCTGAAATTGAAAAACCCATGCGGTTGTATAAATATTTGAATACATGTACGTTAATGAACTACTTATTTTAGATAGATTGGCTTTACAATTAAATGGCTTCATAGAATGAGCCATTAATTCTGCAGTACTTCTGTTAAAAATGTTCACATCACAGTCTGTGTCAGTTATGCGCCTGATTGATCTGATACATTGTTCATTCTTCTGCTCTTCTGTGTTATTGAGGTTAAGGGATGTAGCTAATCCTTCAGTCTGCCGTTCCCAGTCTTTCACATCAACTGTCTTCAAGCTGTGGTTGGCCAATGGAACCTAGTTTTGGGAGAAGGGAAGAGGTGATGAAGTGAGAGGCTAGAGTATTTCTCCCTTCCTTCATTGTTTTGGGCAGTGTCCAGCAGTGTGTCCATCACCCATTGGGACCTTTTTGTTCCAGGTTCTGCCTGATAATTAACTCCTGGGCTTTTGTTTACTGCCTTATCCTATTATTCATCCACCCTAATAGCAGTAGTGACTTCCTGCTGTTATTAACCACTGGTTTATCTCACCATTATCAGTTAGGCTTCCCAGTGATTCTGTACCTTTTCTAATAAATTTCCTGCATTAAACCCCTTCTATTTTAAATATCCAGAATGATTTCAGTGATGCTTGTAGAACCCTAATTGATACAGAGTGAAAAGTAATAGTTCCAGTGATTTTTAAAGTATTTGAATGACTACTTTGCTCTTGGCACCGTAAATGTTGCTCACTAGCAATGGATATAGTGGTTGTTTAAGGAGACGTGCATAAAAGTTAAATCATAACATTGAGGCATATTGCAAAGAAGAAAAATGGATACATTGAGTTTTTTTCCATGCACAGATTATGGTGAGAATATTAAACCAATGAATAAATATTGAATTAGTGCACTATTTAATGAACAGTTGCAGTAAGAAAATATATAATGTTGCTTTGTGTGGTAAATAAAGTTGATGAGTATGTATTGACAAGATTCAATAATTCTGTATCTTTTTTTGACTGAACAAAAGAGAACTAGGATTAAATCATGCTTGAGCATATGTAATCAAAATGCTAAGACAATTCCTACAGTTGTAGTCTATTGAATTCAATAAAAATTAAAATTCTTTCTTTCATATGGCTTAATATCTAAGGAGCTAATCAAAGTTTCTAGTTATGAAGTATATGACCATAACAATGCCCGTGATTCAAGTATTTGACTGTTGGAGGAATTAGTCTCTCAAAGCAGTGAGTCTCTTTGATTAAAAAAATCATATAATTTTTTTTTACCATATCTTGTTTCAAAGTGGCATAAATTAAGACATTATAGACATCACATGGTTTATACAGAATAGCGAATGGAAGTTTCAAAACTGGGCATTGGGTTTTGATTTTTCTGTTGTTTTTTTTTTAACTTCTCTCTTAACCAAATATTAGATAGTGACCTTCCCCATAACTTATACAAAACACTTTCTGAAAGACACTTATATAGGTATCTGGTTCCAGTATAAACAATCATCAAGACCCACTTTTGGTAAATAGTTTTACAGGAATAATGTTAATTTAAGACCATTATTAATTAAATGATCCTTTCTCAAGGATACTCTAGAAAGAATTTCTGAATTGGAAGGGAAGTTGAATTTCTTGATCTTCTCCATTCCATCTCTCTCAGAGTTTGCTGATCTACTAAAGTTTGTGATTGATACTTTCTGTGTATGTGAGAAATAAAATTTATTGCTCTGTTTTTCCCTAGGAGCATCATATAACTTTTTGCTTTTCTAAAGAAAATTTTAAATTGGGCCATATTTTGTCATATATTTTATGTATTTCAAATTAACAAGTGAAAACAATAACTCCTTATACTACTAGAGAGTAATATCTAGAATTTTTCTGCATATGCATAATCATCATCAAATTGTATTTAATTACTATATCTAATTACAGAAAAATGTGGAAGATGTTGAAGAAATTAAATAATAGAAATTATTTGATGTTTTGCCAAAATGTACTTTCTGTTCTTCTTTGCTATATTAATTTTGATTGGAAAAACACCTGGATTTGTAAGTGTTATAACTCTTGTTCATCTATCTCTAGGGCTGTAGCACAGAACCTTGCATATATCAGGCCAATATCTACTAAATGTTGAATTAATGAATCACTGGAAGGTAAAGAAATAAATGTATTTGTTTCTTAGTTTAATTTTTTCATCTTTTAATTATTGTAGTATATTTAATACTATGTTGAATGTTCAGTCTTATAGTAATTAAGTATTTTTTGTTGAATGCATATATCAACAGTCTCTAAAGTAATTCCTGCAGAAGTCTGGAAATATTCAGTGTCCTTAAGTTACAGGACACAATCTACTAGTGGGTCTTAAAGAAAACGTAGTAGTTACTATAAGTATTTTTAAAATAAAACATACTGAAATATATTATAAGGCATTTGAGACAGTAAAGGTATATACTTCATTAAACTTTTGGGTGTATTTGCATATATGTGTTTGCGTGTGTGTTACTGTGAGTTTTAGCTGAAAAGTTCTAAATGCAATGGTCTAGTCGTTGTAAGATTTTTAGATGTAATTATAATTTTAAGAAGATCCAAGGTTTTAAATTATATAGGAAGGCTTTTGCTCTTCATAATTATAATCAGCAGATAACAGGAACAGTTCAAAATAACCAAATGTCTGTTGTATCCTCCTAACATTTTTTCTGTTTCTACCTCAACTCATGGAGCCTCCTCTTCCTTTCTTTTAAGGCTTCAATTAAATGAAATCAATACAGATACAGAGGTAGAGAGAGTTGGCTATTGCTATGGATGAATAACTCTCAATATGAAAAGTAGCTACACTCCCAAACCAGAACAGAACTTTTGTTATCATTCCAACCCATCTCCCAGAGGTAGGTCAACAGTACTTTATAAACCACAGGGTATTGATACTAGCAGATAGAATTTTAATGTGGTCATGTGGCTTTGATTTATAATGTTGAGAAGGTTATCTATTAGCATAGTGGTTTCTAAGCCATATCAAGTTCTGAATCCTGAGAGAGGACCTTTGGTGCTCAAAAGCATCCAGCTGGCATGGGAATTGGTCTCTTAATCACTTTCTCTAAGAAGAGGGGAATAGAGGAAGGGAGGAATTTGGCAGTGTTGCCAGCATTAAATGTTGCTGTTTTGAACAAAAGCCAATACATTGTACTTTCCAAATAGCTGGTAATTTGCTCAATTTAAGAAACATGTTTATAACCCTTTTTAGACCAGAATGAAATTGTTCTGTACTGAATTTTTCTATTTATAAGTCATTTAGACATAGGTCTACTGCCCATATTCATACTATGTTATGGGTTTTTTGTTTGTTTATTTTAAACTGTGGCTATTGCTATGAAGCATTTAAAGGTTTTGGATGACTTAAATGGCCATGGGAAATGCATGTTCTGTTGTCTTCAGAAACAGCTTTCCTCTCATACATCTAAGTTAAATTTAGAAATATTAAATGGATTTAAGAGCTGTTGTGAATATAACAGTTGTAATTAGAAGGCATTGTTGGTATATTACCTCCAACAATGTTTCATCTTTTGTATGGGAATATTAAATTAATAAATCAAGGGTTCAAAGAGTTTTCTTAATATTATAAATAGAATATTAATTATAGGAGAACATATTTAAATATATAATATTTGGTTTATAAGTAACTATTTTCGAAATTAATATCTTGAGTAATTTATCAGTTGGATAGAAAATGGCATCTCTACTGTGTAACACAGTGCCTGGGACTTATTTGTGTTTGAAACCCAAACATTGGGTTGAAGGGATGTAAGAGGAGAGGGAAAAAGGGAAGGAAGAAAAAAGGGAGGGAGGAAATTGTGTTATGCTACATGAGTGACTTCTATTCAAACTGCCTAAAACTTTAGATCACTTGGGATGGCATAAAATTAAGCCCATAAATTACATTATGTAAAACTACAATAAGAGAAAATGCATTTCATTTTGTTTAATATATTAATTAATATTGGAATTATTGGAATAATTCTAAACTTATATCCTCCCAATGATAAAGTGAAATATGTTATATAATACAAATTGAAGATCTAGCATCATAGTTTTCACTTAGGCATATGCTTTATGTCTTAGTTGATAGTCTGTTTATATTAATTTTAGAGTATAGATAATATCTCTATATGTTGGTCTGCAATAGTATCAGGGGCCATTTTTTTGTAAAATGTTTACAAAAGGAAATTATATATATAGTAAATCCTTATCTAACATCATCAATAGGTTTTTGGAAACTATGACTTTAAGTAAAATAAGAAAAGAATGTATAATGAAAACAACTTTTTCTCTCATCAACATTGTAAGGAACTGATATGGAACAAAGTGATGTTATTCTTGTTCCTGTTGTACAATGTTTCACTTGAAGTTGCAGTTTTCAAGAACCTATCCACAATGTTAAGGGAGGATTTACTATAAATTTTTGAATAATTCTTCACTTCTCTTATTGAGCTTGTATCATTGATTTATTGTTTTGCTAATACATCATTAACATGAAATAATAGTATGAATATTTACTTTTGCTTATGTATAAAGTTTATTGTCTATTGTGATTGCTTAGTTTTATTGAAATTGGTCATATTTTGAGGTGTCCAGAATGCAAGTGACCAGAGTTTGATTTCCTGCTTTTCTAATTACTGGTTGTGTGACCTTGAACAAAAGCCTTAACTCTCCAGCAGAACTACATGGATTAAATTTGATATTGTATGTAAAAAGCTCAATATGTAAGACATAGTACTAAATTTATATCAGCTCATAATTTTATGCTGCTTTTCTTCTCCTAATCTCAATCTGATATTTATTGGCATTTGACTCCAAATCTGGAAGAAGAAAAACACCAAAAAACGTTTTACCTATTAGGATGTAGACTCAGAGTACTTAAAAGCACTGTAATCACAGATTTTATGCTCAACAGAATGATAGTGTTTTGATTCTTTTACCATAAGTGAGAGAGCACTGTAATTGCATAATCTCATGAAACACTGAGTACATAAAGGAGAAATGAGAAGAGACAGAAGAGAAGAAATAAGAGGGATGAGAAATATGATGTAATGGCAGGGAAAGAGAGGGTGAAGATTACCATTTGTGACAGATTTTAGAATGGAAAATGTGATAGCTGGTGACAATATTGGAATACTTCATAAGAGGGTTAGAATAAAAATATAGCCAACTCTGGATTCTGGATAAGGTAGCAAATAATTATCCAGGATTAGATATGTCTTTATGGGTCTTCAGGGCATGTGTATTTTATGCTGAAGACAGTGTGGTTCAAAAGCTGTCTGTATGGACAAGAACTTTCCCTATACCTTGCCATTTTAGCCATAGATAATATACTGAATAGCAGCTCATAAATTATGTGTGAATACTTGCTCTAATTCTGCATATTTGCAAAGTGCATGCTAGAATGTTTTATGTTCATAATAATGGAGCCATGAACACCATGATTCAGATTCAACTCACACTCTGGGAGTATCTACTGTGTATTACATACTTTCACAGGCAATATGCAATAAGGTATTGGTTTCCCACTGTTATAGCCAAGTAGGCTTGCAAAGGTAAGGTAACTTGCCCCGGGTGCAACAGGTAGGGAGTGACTGAGCCAGAACTCAAATCTAGGTCCTTTATTCCGAGCCAAGTACTTTTTCCATTATCTTTTATCTATTACTAAGAAAGATAAAAGCAATTTACAAATTTATTGCTTATTTGGATACTAAGCATTTATTGAGCACCAACAACATTTTAACTACTGTTACATCCACAGTGGTAAACAATAATCAAGGTGTTACGTTATATATTTGAGGGAAAATGTGAAATTGTTTAAATGAGACTAAGTACTTAGCGTGTATATTAAATGTATATGCCATATATTAAATATATATCAAATAGTCACAAGCATTTACTGGATAGGAAAATAGTGAATTCTTAAAACTACTACAGATATTGTGGAAAAAAAATCTTTTATCCAAAAATGATTTCATTCCTAATAATTACAAACTACTGATAACAGAAGAGAAAAAGTAAAAAGCTATTGAACATTGTTTGTAGTTGGGTATATATAACTAAATTATATATTAGGTACTTCAATGAATCCTTGAAACAAACCATAATTTTTCTACTTTACAAGTAGGGAAACAGCCTCATAGAACCTGAGTAATTTGCTGAACTTTAATATAGCTAGTAGATGCATAATCAGGATTTGATCCTAGGCCTGTGTGTCTCCAAAGCCCATGCTCATTCTTTTTAAAGCTACAATATTTCCTGGAGCTTTTTGTATACTTATAGTCCTTAATAGAAATGAGAAGCAGTAGTTCTTGCTATTGTGTTGCAGGTCCCTAGTTTAATCATTTGAATGCTAATTCTGGTATAACTCTGAACAACCGAATCACCTTGATTTACTCCTTTGAAAATGGTTAGGCAGCATAAGAGTGTTGAGCACTATTATTTCCCAAGATAGACAGAAAGATCAAAAAATTCAGAGACCTATAAAAGATCCTTTTACTCCAATTTCATTAAACATGTCAGTAATATGTTACAGAGTCTTAGGTTTAATTGCTATCAATAAATAAAATCAAACATATTAGACATGTTGCCTTATTCTGCTTGCTGGTAAAAAGTGCATGTATAGTATATAGCCTAATTGAGTGAAAACTTGTTTTTATCTGATCGTGTGTAATTTAAAAATCTTTTAAAATGTGCTTACATATCCACATTCTACAGACTTTATGTATGTATCTGAGAGGAGTGTAAATTTCTTTCTTTTTTGAGACAGAGTCTCGCTTTGTTGTCCAGGCTAGAGTGAGTGCCATGGCGTCAGCCTAGCTGACAGCAACCTCAAACTCCTGGGCTCAAGCGATCCTCCTGCCTCAGCCTCCTGAGTAGCTGGGACTACAGGCATGCACTACCATGCCTGGCTAATTTTTTGTATATATATTTTTAGTTGGTCAGTTAATTTTTATTTATAGTAGAGACGGGGTCTCGCTCTTGCTCAGGCTGGTTTCGAACTCCTGACCTCGAGCAATCCACCCGCCTCGGCTTCCCAGAGTGCTAGGATTACAGGCAGGAGTGTAAATTTCATGATGGCTACTTCCTTTTTGCATATCCAAAGTTTTTCCAATATAAAGTCCTATTTTTGTCTCATTATTCAAGAATATTTTCAAACATTTCTAGCCCAATTCTAGCTTCTCCTTTAGGTTCCTACATCCTTCCATTTTATAAAATTTGTTCTATCAATTTTATATTACAGTCTTATACTGTAACATATCAATTATATATTACAAATGAGTTGTTACTTCTTTTGACTGCAAAATAATATAATAGATGTGGTCAACAGGTTTGATTTAAATTATATTATTGCAAATTCGTAACAGAACCTTGCATATTGATATTTGTATAGTATATGTTTACTGCAGTTTAGGGTCCTGGAATTGATTTTTAAATTACTCTTCCTTCTTTTGGGAATTTATTTTATAATCTTTCCACTCATACAGTTTTTCCATAGGCATCCTGTTCTCTCAGGCATTCATTCACCCAATTTCAGCATATGTGTATTTTAGTCCCTGTAGTATGCTATGCATTTTCTGTGGATTTGAGATCCAGTAATGATAAGAGATAAGTTCTTTTCTTTTGAATATATGTTCTAATTCAACCTGTATTTTTTAAAAGTGTTGTGTGTTGTAAACAACTTATGTTTGGATTTTTACGTCAACAATTATTAGCTCTGTGTTCACAATAAGTTATTTGGTTTTTCTGAGACTCACTTTTCTTGTCTATAAAATGGAAATAATGATAGCTAGTCCCATACTTACTGTAGGTAATGATAATAACCTGTGAATGTGCCCAAAGCAGTATTCAGACACAGCTGGTGTTCATTCATTATCAATTTCCTTTCTTTGCTACCTTTCTCCTCTTAATTTAATATAGGTATAATTTATGACCAGGACTATCTAGTTAGAGGAATTGTTACGTGTTATATTGTACTTCATGTGTTCTATTTGTTCCCTAATAACTACTGAGGCTTACCTATTTTTGATTCAAGGCAACTTTCTGATACAGTGAACAGTAGAGGTAGTCTGAAGACTGATGATCATCTCATGCATCTTGTTTCTACTTATTGGATTTATTTTTTTTTTCATCTGAGACGCTTTGCCTTCATACTATCCTCTCTTTAATATGTTTGTACATGGATTTTCCCCTAAATTTATTGTCAGTTTTTGACATATTCTGAAAGTCCATGATGAGTTTATTCCCTTCCTGATAATTTCTTCTGTTGGCATCAAAACCTTCCCATCCTTTTGTGTTTCTTCTACTATACTTTACTTTTCTCAGTATACTTGCATTTTCTTTTTTCTTAGTTGGAATGATAATATGTGTAAGGAACACTTCCTAATTACCAGCTGATACTCTATTTGACCAACAAAACAAACAATATTTGTAATTCTTTTGCAAACAATTCTTCATTGAAATAGCACTTTCATGTTTTTCTCACTTCATTTTCTGAACTCTCCTGACCCTTCTACACCCAATGGAATGAATTACACCTCTCTCTAGTAATCCCAATAATTGGGAGTTGATTTTCTGAATTTTCCTGGGGCATTCTAAAAATGTTCATCATATTTGATACATAATCAGTTGGTTTCTTGCAGACAATATCTAGACTGTTCTATCTCATCCAGCTTTACTTAGGAAACAATGTACATAATATTTATATGGGAAATCAATTTATATGGGAAATAAGAGTTTATATGTAAACTCTTATTAATGTTCTTCATTCACATTAAAATCTCTATTCACCCTTCTCTTGTATATAGAATATAGAAATATTTCAAATTCCTCCTAAAACCCTTCAACATAATCATCATTTTCTTACTTCCCTCTACCTATGCATGTGTATTTAAAATTGGGCCCATAGAACACAGTGCCATATTGCTTTGAATCATCGAAAAAATTGAATCAGGAAGCTAGTTAAGATTAGTTACTTCACTGTAATATTGGTTAATGATAGTACCTAAAATATAGGTTGTGAGAATTAAATGAGATAAGGTTTGTGAACTTCTCAATATGATACCTGTTACAAAATAAATAACCAGTAAATTTTAACTTTTATTAAAGATTTTTATAAATATTAGCCATACATTTTTATTGATATTATAGAAGATTAGCTGACAGCAAACAAAATCAAGATTCTCTAGTAATGTGATTACTTCTCTGCCCTCCAGTATGCTTTAGGGACTTACCTTATTATTCTTTATTTCAGATAAGACCTTTTGCTATTTCCCCCTTTTATGTGGGGCTTTCTTTTCATCTATTGATTTCCCAAAAATGGTTTCAATAATTTCTAAATAATACTAATTGTCTAAACTCAGCACAATGCAATTTTTCATATATCTACATTTATATATATCCATTTATATATTTTATATATACACACACGTTTGTGAATTTTCTTTATGTTGTAACTTTGAAAGACAAATTACCTTCCATTTAATATTGGAATGAACAAAATGTGTTTGGTTAATATAAGAAGTTTTTTTCCTTGTACTTTAGTTGTTTATATACATGTTTTATAAAAGACCTCTGCCCAAACATATGTCTGGTGAAGACAGAATTGTTACCTTAATTGCCTTTATATCTTACGGGGCCTTGAACAAACTTAGTGTGTAGAAAAATATTTACAGAAATGAGTACATGAATCTTGCAAAAACTTTTCTTTCACTGGAGTCCTTTAAATGTTTTAGTTTGAAAGTGTAACTACTTATTATACATACATATATTTTTTAATTTGTTAAGTTATCATAATTTGTTATTAGTTAACATATATTTACACAGATCCCATTTGGAATATATGTTAAAGTGAGTATGTATTCACATCTCCGTTTCTTAGTGTTCATTTTAGTGTTTTTCCAAACTAACTCACCAAAAATTTTTTGAGGCTGGGGGCATGTTTTTCCTGTAAATATCAGCAATATTCCCATAAAATATTAATATCAGTAATATGATGATGATGTAATAATATGCATGGGAAATATTCTCACCAAAGATAGTCTTAGGTGTTAAGCAATGTGTTATTCTTTGTATATAATGCTTCCTAAAATTAAGATTTTTTTGACATTTTATTAAATAAAATCACTTGAATTCTAGCATGTATGATGTAGTACTTTTTAAATAGAGGATTATAAAATAGGATATCACAAGTGGAGAGGAAAAATAAACTTCAGAATCAGAAAATTCTGTTGAATATTGTGTCATGACACTGATGTTAATGCTTATGATTTCTATAGCCTAATAAGAAAAATATTTTTTAAATTTATAGAATTAGGAAGGCGGCTTATTGAAGAGTTTCCAAATATCTTGTAAGTTCCTAATGGGTATACTTAATACTACATGTCTTAGGAATTTAAGAAATAGAGTTCTTAGTTTGTTTTTAAAGATAAAGAACTTGTGGTTTCTGGTGCCTTAATACCACTTATTGGTATTAATAATACATTCAATAAATATTTATTGTACTTCTTTGTTCTATGCTTTGTATTATTGTATTTATTGTATGTCTTTGAAAGCTCTTAAAGACTGATTTGTTATTTCATAGTAAATTAGTTATATACTTAGGATCAAAAATAATTCTTAGTTGTTAAAATTAATTGGACGTTTATATTTTAGTTATTTTTTAGAGAAAAATTCAAAAGAGGAAGTTTGATATATTCTAAGATTAAATAGAAATATTGAAACTGACCAACTTTAGTACCACAAAACTAATTAAAAGTAAAGGCTAATAATACTATTTTCTTAAAGAGTTGATTTATTATCTATTTTAAATTTTCACTTGACATCATCATAGGTTGTTAGTTAAACAGGCAAACAGTTACCATCAACATCATCAGATTGGTTGTTAGTTAAACAGACAAACAGTTATCATCAGTCATGCGTAAGTAAACCAAAAAGATTGACCAAGAATTTGGAGTATGTGTAGCCTAGATAAAAAAAAATCTGACATATAAAGTATACATAAATTTATAGTTTGGTATAGCTATTCAACTTTTGATTAAGGAGAAAATGTTAAATTATGTACAGCTACTGAACTTCTTTTATGAAGAAGTGACAACTGAATAAATACTAAAAATTTACTTAGCACAGTACTTTATACTAATTATATATTTATTAGCACAATCTTAGAAAAGATAAAAATACATAAAATCATTTCTTGTTATTGTGTTTTCCATTTGGTACAATTTTTAAAATTTTTCTTTATGTTCGAGAAGAGAGGTTTATAAAGAGAAGTCAAATATTGGCATTTTAAATGTTGATTAATCCATTACTGAGAAAGTCTGTTCCTTATTAAACATTTTATAGGTGTCAGTAGGGGCTGTATTTACCATTTTTAAAAGCAATTGATCCATTTTAAATCTTATAATAAGATTTAAGTAGTTTGAAAAAATTAAACTGCTACTATAAAACTATTTGATTTCCATACGTGTATATATATATATATATATATTTTACTTTGAATAACAAATAATAAGACATATATATATGTTATATTATTTTACTTTGAATATATATATATATTTTACTTTGAATAACAAATAATAAGACATCATAGCATAATGGATATCAAAAACAAAAATGATGTCATTGCTCAAAATATATTTAATCACTTTTAATGATTAATTTTCTATATTTAAAAACTTTCATATAGACTCTTTAGCTATATAATAGATAAAGTTATCCCATTAAAATAGAAATAAGTGCCAAAACAGAGGAAAA